ACCGCAAAAGTACATCAGGAGCAGTCCAATTCTTGGGTGATATGTTAGTCTGCTGGTCTTCCAAGAAACAGAACTGTGTGTCAACATCTACGGCCGAGGCAGAATACGTCGCGGCTGCTAGCTGTTGTTCACAAATATTATGGATGAAGACCCAGCTAAAGGACTACGGTTACACTCTCCGCCATATCCCGATCTACAGTGACTCACAAAGCGCCATAGCCATCACCAGCAACCCGGTTCATCACTCCCGCACCAAACACATCGACCTGCGCTATCATTTCATCAAGGATCATGTGGAGAAAGGAGACATTGACATGTATTTTGTAAGCTCAGAGCTTCAACTGGCTGACTTGTTCACTAAGGCATTGGATGAAAAACGATTCCAGTTCCTAGTCTCCAAGTTGGGCATGTTGAACCTCGAGCCCGTTTAATTATGTCTCCACTGATCTAAAAAGTGTGTGTGTGTGGGATTTGTAAAAAGTGTGTGTGTGTGTGTGGGATTTGTAAATAGTGTGTGTGCGTTGCATGTGTTGAGGGGGAGAAAACCAGAAAAATAACAAAAAATAGTGTGTGTGCGTTGCATGTGTTGAGGGGGAGAAAACCAGAAAAAGAACAAAAAATAGTGTGTGTGTGTTGCATGTGTTGAGGGGGAGAAAATCTGAAAAAGAACAATAAATAGTGTGTGTGCGTCGCATCCTGTACATAGCGTGCGTTGTATGTGTGCGTTTTTTTCTAGTGTCCAAAACGAGGGGGAGAATTTTTATAATCGTTTAGGCCAAACTCTTTTCAACCGACTTTTTGAGCCCAGCTCTATATTTTCGGCCCAAACTACCAAGTTTTCACAAAGCCTATTTTTTCGCGTATAAAAGGTTCCCGAGAACCATGAATCTCTTCATTCTCTCTTTTCCGTCCCAACCTCACAGAGCTCTCGGATTTTTTCTCTCTCTAATCCTTCTCCCCCTTCTCGTCTTCCGAGCTAAGGTAGTCCAACGTTTTCATCAAACTTCATCATGGTTTTCGAAAACAAAAACATAAAGAAACACTCGATTCTGTTTTGCGAAATCTCGCACACGAATGACGAACTCGGAACTGTGTTTTTCTTGTGATTATATGTGTTTTTGTTTGATTGCAGGTGGTTTCGTCTTCGGTCGTAAGGTAAAACGTCTCGATTTCTTTAGTTTTAAAACTCAGGATCTCGATCTCGTCGTTTGAACTTCGTGACGAGATCTCAAGATTTAAAACTCGAGATTGAGATCTCGAGATTTGAAACTCGAGATTGAGATCTCGAGATTTAAAACTCGAGATTTAAAACTCGAGATTGAGATCTCGAGATTGAGATCTCGAGATTTAAAACTCGAGATTGAGATCTCGCGTTTTAAAACTCGAGATTGAGATCTCGCGTTTTAAAACTCGAGATTGAGATCTCGCGTTTTAAAACTTGAGATTGAGATCTCGCTTTTTAAATTTCGAGATTGAGATCTTGATATTTAAACCTCGAGATTGAGATCTCGAGATTTAAACCTCGAGATACGGTTTTCGAGCTTTTGCCTTAGCCGATTTTGACCACCACCTGCACTCCACTCTTCAGAACCAAACCAAACAACAGTTCATCTAATTTCAGGAAACCAAAAATAAAAATGGACTTTTGCACTGACCCATGTTTTCAACAGCTCATTATGGCAGGTACACAAAAGAGACATAACATTGACGACGCCATCTACCCACAAGATAGGTGGGTCAAGGTGCTGGACAACAACTTTCAGCTAGATCTGACTGTCTTCAAATGTCAGGATCCAGTCATCCCCGGGATTCTGAAGCGCCACTATCTCTGGACCGCCTTCCACAAATCAAAATCGGTGCCAGAAATCTACCTCCAACAAGTATGGGGACATATGCGTACCGAGTCAACAAAAGACCGCACCAAAATCCTCACAAAGCTCAACAACATGAGGATTGTCCTGACTCCAGCAACCCTACGCTATACACTGGCGCTCCCCGAACATGATAGCTACGATCCTCTTCCTTCTATTCCGGATCTTCTCAAAGATGTCGCGGCTCTGGGTTATGACTCTCTACTACCAAAACTGTCAAACTTCAATGGAGCATACCTTTATCGTCCCTGGAAGAGCCTATTCGGGCTAGTCAACAAGTGCCTCTCTCCAAAGCATGCCGGACTGGACAAATGCAACAAGCAAATACTCTGCGTCTTCCACGGCATCGCATATAACAAGAAGTATGACATGGCCCAGCTCTTCTTCTCAGAGCTAATGGACCTGGTAAAAGCCAAAGAGAAAAACAGGCCAGGCACCATTCCATACGCCAGGTGGTTGGGGCTGATCATCCATGACTGCATGACAGCAAACACATCCATTCCTAGACGTACTGATGATCCACACTTCATAGCTCCAAAGCTCCAATACTTCAAAGCTGATAAGAAAGCAGCTCAGGGCCTGCGAATTCCAGATGCTCTGCTCAACCTGGCAAATCAGTCAAATCCAATCATCGTCGCATACAAGGAGAACCTTGAAAGAACAGTCCCTATGGTTCAGCAAAACCCAGCTGGACCTACCCAGGGGACTAAACTGAGTGTAAGTAAGGGTCCCAAGAGCGCCCCAAAGCCACAGAAGCCAGTGGCACGTCGGCCCAATGAAGGAGAGTCCGATGAATCTCTCGAGAGGACTCGGACAACTGAGGGCAAACCGACGAACGCTGAGGAATCTGCTGATGACTCGCTCAGCTCGGCCCACAAAGAGGCTGACGACGAGGCTTCCGATAGCGTGGCCAGAAGTGACAACGATGATGATGATGATGACGATGATGTTGACGATGTGGACCACACTTTTGCTCTCATCCGAAAGGGTAAGCTGCCTATTGAATCTCCTCCGAAGAAAATCACCGCTGAGGATGCAGCCCCCGTTATTGCTACACGCCCCAAAGAGCTCGTCATCAAAACCACGGCAGCCAGTCACAATATAGCAAGTGCTACCGGCATCGTCAGGGAGCAGCGCATCAAAGCGAAAAATGATGCTCCACAGTCACTCAACTCCAAGAAGAGACACCTCGTCAAAAGACACCTTGTTGACGAGGACGAAATGCATATCTTTGCCGATTGTCAACCCTTCATTAATATAAGCCGAGCTGAATCTTTAAGTGCAGGAGCCGATCTTTTCGGTTCCCGGGTAGAAGTCGCAGCATCTGGCTCAACTGCGCAAGCACAGCCTTCTCCCAGCCACTCGATAGCCTCCCAACAGGCTATTGTTTCAAAACAGCGGGATTCACCCACCTCTCTGGTTCCCTCCGAACCAGTCGAGCGAATTAGTGGCCAACAGCCCGAGGTCACCACCACTTCCTTGAGCACATCGAGTCTAGGTGTCACACTCCCTACATTTTCTAATTTTTCTAGGACACCTACACTATTCACCGCACATACAGGTGCACGCACCCTGGAAGCAACGACCAGAGTACCAACGATGACGGTCGGAAGCCCTACTACGCCCACAATGACTCCATCATTGAATGCAGGCCACACATCAGCTCTCTTCACTGATGCTGTGACAACAGTTACAACCCCTGTAACTGAACACCTCACTACCGAAGACGTCACCGTTCTTATGCACCGTTTCTTGGATTCCACCATTAAGCCATGGGTGCAACAAGCATTTACCGCTTGGGCACAAGAATCCAAGACCACCCCGGCAGTGCATAGTGAACACAGCCAGCCTGAACCACACCCATCACCTTCTCACTCCAAATCTCAAACCTCTCCTGTCCATAGCCCTATCTCTTCTCGGGGAACCCATGATACAGAACAAGTATCATCCCCACACCCGACCACACCTCCCATCGAACTACTATCCCAACCCTTCGAAGTCCTGGCATCGATCTTGCTGGATCATCTCCTAAACATACCCCACACTGACCTCACTCCCTACCAGCAAGGCGTCCTTACTGCCCTTCTCGCTAATCCGGACACCAAGGGCACCTACCGTGAAAGTCCCCGTGGTCGCAAACGTTCACATGAGGATCCCGATGATCCGGAATCTCATGAGGGGGAGAACAAGAGGCCACGGATACTCGAGCAAGGTGCCTCTACCACTCATAGCCCCCAAACCGAACAACCTGAGACTTTCATCAACCAACCACCACCCTCCCCTTGCCAAAACCAAGCCTATCTCTCTAGCGTGGTCGAGCTAGACAAAACATCCCGAGGCGTATCTCCCAGAGATAATGTTCGAGGAGGGGACGGAAGTCCTGATGATGCTACCACTGGTACATCCTTCACATCAGGCCATCAGTTGGAACCTAGTTCTAAGCTGATGTCAACGGGCAATCCAAGTGAACCCGGTAGTGCTACCAAGGAACAATCACCGCCTCAAAAGCAGCAAATAGTTCCATACATCTGATGTACTTGTATTTTACACACTTTTTAGGCTTAGTTTGTTGTTAATTTTAGTTATTAAAATTCTACTTTTGTACATATTTTTATAATTTGTCGTTAGTTTGTACTTGTGCAGTCCTACACGGGTATTTTGTATTTTCAGGTACTTTTGATGCTATTTGGATACATTAGAGCGAACAAAAGAAGAAAATAAAAGTTCAAGTTGGAAGTCAATAAAAGTGGAATTTTCTTCAAAACAAATAAGGAGTAAATTGAAGAAAAGAAGCAAAAAATAAAAATGATGGAGCTGGAATTCGATCCCTGGAGAAAGGGTAGAAGAATGCCTACTACAACCAGTGTGCTAAGTGATCAATGTTGTACATATTCAGCTGGCAATTGCTATATTCCTTCTGAACGCGGCAAAGAAAAGAACAAAATGTTGAAGCCGAGAATCGATCCCACGATCTCCGAGTTTTCCCATGAAGTGCTTATCCGTTGAGCTACCTGCCACTGTTGAAACTTTACTGCGCTTTGTTGTACATAAACTCACATGTTCTGTAAATCCCAGCAATTAATAATTAATCACCTTATCATTATATTGCCTTAATCCATCTTCCTCCACACATAAGCTCGGACCAACCTCTCTCTAAACATCCCAGAAACATTTCCTCCTTCTTCTCTCTTCATTTCTCAACCCCAAATCATCAACCCATCTTCAACCATAACTAATCACTTTCTCATCCAAGATTAAGTCAAGATTAGCATCAAAGCTCCAAGGATTGTCATCAATCACAAGTTTGATCTTCCTTATCTCATTAAATCTTGTACTTTAATCATGGATTCATCTATTTCTATGTTTCCCAACATGTATAGCTAAATAAATTTGGGGCTAGAAATTGGTTAATTAATTGTTCTTATAATGTTTTAATTTGTATTGATTTTAATTGTTAAGTTTGTTCTATTTAGATTGTTGTGTCCAGAAAATTAATTATGTCGTGTTTGTGATATATATTATGAGTACTCAATCATAAACATATTGTTTGTTAAATACACAAATGAACACTTTCTGAACACACCGTTAAACTTCTTTTACCTTGTCCCGGATTGAAGTTTTACGGGAGAATTTAATTATTTAATTATATTATTTACACCACGGGGTTGGGTAAATAATATAGTTAATAATTAAGGTTGCCGTTGCACTTAAACAACTAGTCTCATTTTGGCCATCACTGGGAAATGTTGACTAGTTACTTATTTTAGGTGACTTGTGTTGGGTCCTAAAATATTTATCTACAACTTCTCACAATCTATCTAAGAATAAAATTAGCAATTATGTCTTACAAATGAGCATTGAACAATTAGTTGCCAATTTCTACCCCTACTTGCTATTGGTTGAACTTTGTGTTGATAAAAGTCTCTTCTCTCAATCACTTTTATTTAATTACTTTTCCAAGTAAACAAAAATCAAAAGAAACGCATTCCCAACTTTAATCCTTAGTTTGTGCTTAATTATTTTATTTCCCGCTTCTCTGTGGTTCGACACCCTACTTCCTTGGGTAAAAAAAATAGTTGTGTGCCCATTATATGCTACACACCAACTTGGCGCCGTTGCCGGGGAAGCGGTTTTGAAAAAAAAATTGAGAGCATAAACTTTCGATTTTAGTTATTGTAAATTGTGTGTATATTATTCTGTTGTTATCTTTTTACCTTTGCAGGTTAAAAAAAGTGATTAATTAAAGTTCAAAAAAAAAATCAAAAAAAAAAATCAAAAAAAAAAATCAAAAAAAAAAATCAAAAAAAAAAATCAAAAAAAAAAATCAAAAAAAAAACAAATGGACTGTGATTAATCATCTTACCTGAGCATTGGAGTTGGACTTGTTGACTGAACATATCTGGACATTCAGACCATTGAACATATTGTTACATTTTAATTAAAAGGATACTCCGCCTATATGGTCGGACCGCTTACTTGTACATTATAATTCAAAGGATACTCCGCCTATATGGTCGGACCGCTTACTTGTACATTATAATTCAAAGGATACTCCGCTTATATGGTCGGACCGTTTATTTTTCTTTTTATGGTGGTTCAAACCCCAACTTTTTAATTTCTGCACTTTAATTATCGCAATTTAATTTGTGCACTTATATTATCGCAATTTAATTTCCGCACTTTAATTTCAGCATTTTTTTAAATTTTGCATCCCCAAGCTTGTAGGCCGTGTCCACTTGTTGGTGGAGTGCACTTTTTTTTTTTTTTTTTTTCTTAATAATCCCCAGACTGTCGGCATAGCTGCATCTTGGTGGAGACTGTATTTATTACTGTAGCTATTTTTTTCTTCCCTCAAATCACCATATCTGTCGGCCTAGCCGCATCCTGGTGAATTACTGTATATATTCATACTGCTTTAAGGGCTCACTAGTCTCATTCGGTTTATACCAATTGACTACGTGCGAACCTTAATTAATTAATTAATTCCGCATTTATTTTTTCTTTTCATCTCTCTCTCTCTTTCCCCAATCCCAATTCCCTTCTGCTTATGCTCACACGTTCACGTGGTGCGAATTGTGAATTGTTATTCTTCTCTGACATCGAAAAGCACATACGTGAACAGAAAAAAAAAATTAAAAAAAAATGTCAAACGATATTGTTGTTAATGAGCAGGTACCCAATCAACAAATCGTGGATCAGGTTACGAGGACCAGGAAACCGCTGTATGATTATGTTACGCCTCCCGTGGATGAGCATGACAGTGTTATTCCACCAGAGGTTAACATGAATCACTTTGAAATCAAGCCTGCTATCATTCATATGGTTTCAAATACTCAATTTGGCGGAGCGCCAACGGAGGATCCAAATAATCACATCACAAAGTTCCTTCGAGCTTGCAACACCTTCAAAATCAATGGTGTGCCAACTGATGCTGTCAGACTACGCCTGTTCCCATTCTCTCTACGGGATCGAGCTCAGAGTTGGCTTGACTCTTTTCCGGATAATCACTTCTCCACTTGGGATCAACTTCATGGTGAATTTCTCAAAAGATTTTTCCCGCCATCTAAAACGGCGAAAATCCGAAGAATGATTCAAAATTTCAAGCAAAATCCCAATGAGCCCCTCTACGAGGCTTGGGAAAGATTCAAAGATCTTCAGCGACAGTGTCCACATCATAACATCCAAAACTGGCACTTGATGACGGCTTTCTATGAAGGCCTACATGAAAATTCTCGGATACTCGTGGACGCGTCAGCAAATGGATCATTCATGTGCCTAGAACTTGAAGAGGCAGAAGAATTGATGGAGCGTATTTCATCAAATGGATCAACATGGTATTCTGAGCGATCATCTGCTCCACCAAAAATCGGAGGCATGTATGAAGTTGATCAAATGTCGGCCATAACCACAAAGGTCGATAGCATGATGAATCTTATCCAAAAGATGGCACAAGTCTCTCTTGTGCAAAACTCTACATCAACTCCAGCTCCCATTCCCGTTCTTATGTGTGAATCTTGCGGTGGACAACACAATCAGTCTACTTGTCCATGGGAAGCAATGGAACAAGTTGACTATGTCAACTACAACAGGCAGCCCCAACAAAATCAATTTGGTAATTTCAATCCTCAAGGAAGAAACCATCCCGGTTTTTCCTGGAGCAATCAAAATGGAGCTGCTAATCCACAACCATCTTACCGGAGTGCACCACCCGGTTTCCAAAACCAACAACAGCAATTCAGAGGTGGCCAAGATATTGTGAACCAACAACACTATAAACCCACTCAAAATCTTCCATACCCTTCAAGTCAACAGCAAAAACCACTTCTCCCCACTCCTGAAACAACCCAATCTCCTGTCCTAGAAAACATTGTTGACCAACTTCTCAAGTCCCAATTATCTCAAGCTGAAACCCTGAAACAAATCACCGATGAACTTGGTCAACTTCGAGCTCACAACAAGATGCTTGAGAATCAAATTGCTAATCAAGCATCCACATCATCAACTAAGGTGACAGGTAAGCTTCCTGCTTGTCCTGAAAACCCTAGGGAGCAAATCAATGTCGTCACTACTCGGAGTGGGAAACAACATCAATCCTTGCCCCGTTCTAGTGATGAACAAGAACATGAAGTGTTGGAGGAAAGGGCCGAGCAACAACAGAAAGGTGGAAACAACAACAATGAACTTGATGTCGGTACCATGCCGAAACCATCTGATGATCGTGAAGGGTCGAAGAAAGAAAAAAGCAGTTCGGTAAGGAAATATATTCCCCCAGTTCCTTATCCGAACAGTTTGAAGAAAGCTAATATGGAGGAGCGGAGAACTAAATTTTTGAACGTTATCAAACAGTTGGATATCTCAATTCCTTTGCTTGATGCCATTACAGAAATTCCTTCATATGCTAAATTTCTCAAAGATATTCTCACAAAGAAGAAGGAGAATCCAGCCACTGTTGCAATGAGCCAAGAATGTAGTGCCATAATCCAAAACAAAATTACACCCAAGTTACGTGATCCTGGAAGCTTCTTAATTCCATGTATCATTGGTGGATCTAAAGTTAACAAAGCTCTTTGTGATCTTGGTGCAAGTGTTAGCTTAATTCCCTATTCACTATGTCAAAAGCTACACTTGGGGGATCCCAAACCAACAACAATGGCGTTACAATTGGCTGATCGATCTGTCAAATATCCTATCGGCATTCTTGAAGATGTTCCTGTCAAAATTGACAAGTATTATATCCCGGGAGACTTTGTTGTCTTGGATATGGAGGAAGATGCTCGAGTTCCTGTTATTCTCGGGAGACCCTTTCTAGCTACGGCAGGAGCAATTATCAATGTAAAAAAGGGTGCCCTTATCCTTCAGATTGGGGATGATAAGATCGAATTCAATGTACAAGAGCTGAGTAAGGATACACCTTGTGTCCTTGATGGTTACTATGCTGATGTTATAGACTCTTGTATCATAAAGACATTTGATAAGTCTTATTGGCTTTCTAAAGATCCCATGGAGTACACTATACGAGAATCTATTGCAGATGAGCAAGCCAATGAAATGGTGAATTTATGTCTCGAAATGTTGCAAAACATATCTTTACCGATGCCTAAAGCACTTAAATTTGAAGTGCTTAATCTTGAAGATCAATCCTTGAATGTCAAAGGAAAAGCACCTGAAGTAGAACTCAAACCACTTCCATCTACTTTAAAATATGCTTTTCTTGGCCCGAATTCCACTTATCCTGTCATTGTGAATGCTGATTTAGATCTTCAACAAGTGGAAAGAATATTGCAAGTCTTACGAAGCCATCGCAGAGTTATTGGCTACACCATTGATGATATTGTTGGCATAAAGGCATCTTATTGCATGCACCGCATTTACTTGGAGGATGATCACAAGCCGAGCATTGAGCACCAAAGACGCCTCAACCCGAACATGAAAGATGTTGTTAAAAAAGAAATTCTTAAACTATTGAGTTCGGGTATCATTTTCCCCATTTCGGACAGTAAATGGGTAAGTCCTATCCATGTGGTGCCAAAGAAAGGAGGAATTACTGTTGTAAAGAATGACAAAAACGAGCTGATTCCTACACGAATAGTCACTGGATGGCGCATGTGCATTGATTACCGCAAGCTAAACAAGGCTACTCGGAAAGATCATTTTCCACTTCCCTTTATTGATCAATTGCTGGAGAGGATGGCTAAGCACAAATATTTCTGTTTTCTTGACGGATTCTCTGGATTTTTCCAAATCCCAATTCATCCGGATGATCAAGAAATGACGACATTTACATGTCCTTATGGTACTTTTGCATATCGCAGAATGCCGTTTGGATTATGTAATGCACCAGGAACCTTTCAAAAATGTATGCTAGCTATTTTCTCGGATCTTGTCGAGGAAATTATGGAAGTTTTTATGGATGATTTCTCGGTTTATGGGATTTCATTTGATGATTGTCTTGAACATCTTGATAAAGTGCTGAGCAAATGTGAAGAAGCAAATCTTGTCCTCAACTGGGAAAAATGTCATTTCATGGCAACCGAAGGCATTGTGCTTGGGCACAAAATTTCTGAAAAGGGCATTGAAGTAGACCCGGCAAAGATAGAAGTAATTGAGAAATTGCCACCCCCTTCTTCCATCAAGGGGATTCGTAGTTTTCTTGGCCATGCGGGATTTTATCGACGGTTTATCAAGGATTTTTCAAAAATATCAAAGCCTTTAACCAATCTTCTCTCAAAAGATGTGGAGTTTAATTTTGATGAATCTTGCTGCGCCGCATTTTCAAAACTCAAGTTGGCCTTAACTACTGCACCAATTATTAGGCCACCTGATTGGAGTCTTCCTTTTGAACTCATGTGTGATGCAAGCGATTATGCCGTGGGAGCCATTCTGGGTCAACGCAAAGGCAAAGAAGTATATGCCATTTATTATGCAAGTCATACTCTTGATGATGCCCAATCAAATTATGCCACAACTGAAAAAGAGTTCCTTGCCATAATTTTTGCCATTGAAAAATTCCGATCTTACCTTATCGGTAGCAAGATTATTGTCTATACCGACCATGCGGCTATCAAATACCTCATCAACAAAAAAGATGCAAAACCGAGGTTGTTGCGGTGGATCTTGTTACTACAAGAGTTTGACATGGAAATCCGTGATAGAAAAGGATCTGAAAATGTTGTTGTCGATCATTTATCTCGACTTGAGATTCCTTGTGATACCAAGATGCCAATCAATGATTATTTCATTGGGGAACAACTTATGACTGCTCAAAATTTTGATCCATGGTTTACCGATATTGCAAATTACCTTTCTCATGGGGTAATTCCACATGGTGCTACACATACTGAAAAGAAGAAGTTAAAATATGACTCCCGCTACTATCATTGGGCAGAACCTTTTCTCTATAGAAGGTGTGCCGATGGAGTCATTCGACGGTGTTTGCCCGAAGATGAAGTTTCAAATGTCTTGCACCATTGTCATTCCTCACCATATGGGGGACATCATGGAAGCTCTCGTACTGCTGCAAAGATTTTACAATCAGGTTTCTTTTGGCCCACTATTTTCAAAGATGCAAGCAAATTTGTGAAAAACTGTGATCGTTGCCAACGTACCGGTAATATTGGAAGAAAGAATGAAATGCCTCAACATGGCATACTTGAAGTCGAATTGTTTGACGTGTGGGGGCTCGATTTTATGGGGCCATTTCCAAAATCAAATGGGAAAGAGTTCATCCTTGTAGCTGTTGATTATGTTTCTAAATGGGTAGAAGCAGCTGCCACACAGACAAATGATGCCAAAGTGGTGATCCAATTCATTCAGAAAAATATTTTCTCCCGATTCGGAGTTCCACGATCTTTCATCACCGACAATGGTACTCATTTTTGTAACAAAGCATTGGAACGTGTCCTTTCCAAATATGGGATTCACCACCGACTCTCAACTCCATACCACCCGCAAACAAATGGCCAAGTGGAACTTTCAAACCGAGAAATCAAAACAATTCTCGAGAAAGTTGTTAATCCTTCCCGAAAGGATTGGGCCGAAAAGCTTGATGATGCACTATGGGCATATCGCACTGCTTACAAAAATCCCATCGGCACCTCACCATTCAAATTGGTGTATGGGAAAGCATGTCACCTTCCTGTTGAGGTTGAACACAAAGCATATTGGGCAATCAAGACACTCAACATGGATCTTGCATTGGCGGGTGAGAAACGACTGTTGCAGCTAAATGAACTTGAAGAATTCAGACTTGCAGCTTATGATAGCTCAAAACTCTACAAGGAGAGAACAAAAGTTTTGCATGACCGGGTGATCAGCCGAAGAAAATTTGAACGGGGAGATAAAGTTCTTCTATTTAACTCACGTTACAAATTCTTTCCCGGAAAGCTAAAGACCCGATGGTTGGGTCCATTTGAAGTACTTGAAGCATTTTCATCCGGAGCAGTCCAGTTGTTAAACAAAAGCGGCCAAAAACTCATGGTAAATGGACAACGGTTGAAACTATACCATGATGGTGAGAGACAAGAGGCAACTTCTGTGTATTGCCTCACTGATCCGAAATATGAATGAAGAGGCATGGGTCAAGCTAATGACCTTAAACGAGCGCTTCTTGGGAGGCAACCCAAGTTTGTAAATTTCAAAAAAAAAAAAAAAAACAAAAAAAAGCAAAAAAAAATGTCTAGGTTTTTGTTTTTGGACTCTAAAGGGGCCACATCCGCTCGAAAAGACATCTCAACATCATCCGTCCGCAATTCAGGGAAGTTTTCTTTACACTCCTTTAATTTATTTTCCACTGAGGACAGTGCAAATTTTAAGTGTGGGGGAGTGGGTAGTTCGACCCTAATTTCTTGTGTGAATATTTTTTCTTTTTCCTTGCTTGTTTGTGTGATTTTATTTTTTTTTATTTTTATTTTGTGTGTTTGTTTGGAAAAGTAAAGACCAGTCTTGTCCAAAATACAACAATAGACAAACAACACATTAGTTTACACTTTTTGTTACTAGTTACTTCCATAACTTTTTAAAACTATTCATTCACCTCTTTTGACGAAATGTGGTTTGAGTTTGAGAAGTGTCACTATAATTTTTTGAGAGTAACTTAGTATTAGCTTTGAACTTGATTCTTTTTAACACTTTAACATTAAACATCTTAGATTTTATTTTTCCAATTTATTGGTTAATAGTTGAATTAGTGAAAGTTTATGCAGATTAAGATGTTCATACATTTATTCTCCTTGAAATTTTATTTGAACTTGACACATTTAGAAATGATTTAGGCCATCTTTGTTTACCCATGAAGCCAAACACTATCCCTTTGTAAATAAATAACACTTTCCATAGTAATCCCGTTCGAGCCTTTTCAGTGTACAAGTGTAAAATATCTTACTTCACTTGTTACTAATTCTTTTTTATTTGTAACCCTGTAAATACATAACCTTCTGAAGCCCTATTCAAAGTTAATCTTTTCTAATCCTAGAGTAGATTGTCTTGTTACTTGAGAGTAAATAAATGGAGCTACTATTAAGTGTCATATGAGTGAAGTACATATTTGTTTGTAAATTTTGGGGTTAGTTTTTCATTGTAATGTTCAGTGTGTGACCTCTTTGAAAAAAAAATCAAAAAAAAAGAAAAAAGAAAAAAAAAAGAGATGGAAAATTGAAAAAAAAGACAAAAAAAAACAAAAAAAAAACAAAGAGGCACATTAAATTCTTGTTGTAATTTCTTTTGTAAAACCCCATTTTTTTTTACTTTTCATGTTTATATTTCTCATTGTTTTGTATGCTCCAAGTTGTTGTAAATTCTTGTGATGATCCGCTCAGTATTAGTACAATCTAACTTTCTCTGTATATTCTTACACCAAACTTTCCTTCCAACTAGCCACACTCATTAATCTCGCCACTCACCGAAAAAAGTCCTAATTGATCTATTTGTGTCATTTTTTGAATTTAGCGGATTGGAGAAACTTGTTCTGCATAACCCGAACTAATTTAGATCTATAGGTGTTTGTGTTAAAAGTTTGATTTGAAAATCTTAGTGATAGGCAATAATACTCGGTTTACTCTCAATGCGTTATTTTGTGACATTTCAGGGTATTGGACCGTTTAGTGGACATTAGAGGTGGATATGTGATTTATTTAGTTATGTTTGTAAATCTTATCAAATTGTGTATATTTTTGTGTTTGTTGTTTGTTTTACTTGAGGACAAGCAAAAGCCTAAGTGTGGGGGATTTGATGTACTTGTATTTTACACACTTTTTAGGCTTAGTTTGTTGTTAATTTTAGTTATTAAAATTCTACTTTTGTACATATTTTTATAATTTGTCGTTAGTTTGTACTTGTGCAGTCCTACACGGGTATTTTGTATTTTCAGGTACTTTTGATGCTATTTGGATACATTAGAGCGAACAAAAGAAGAAAATAAAAGTTCAAGTTGGAAGTCAATAAAAGTGGAATTTTCTTCAAAACAAATAAGGAGTAAATTGAAGAAAAGAAGCAAAAAATAAAAATGATGGAGCTGGGATTTGATCCCTGGAGAAAGGGTAGAAGAATGCCTACTACAACCAGTGTGCTAAGTGATCAATGTTGTACATATTCAGCTGGCAATTGTTATATTCCTTCTGAACGCGGCAAAGAAAAGAACAAAATGTTGAAGCCGAGAATCGATCCCACGATCTCCGAGTTTTCCCATGAAGTGCTTATCCGTTGAGCTACCTGCCACTGTTGAAACTTTACTGCGCTTTGTTGTACATAAACTCAACTGTTCTGTAAATCCCAGCAATTAATGATTAATCACCTTATCATTATATTGCCTTAATCCATCTTCCTCCACACATAAGCTCGGACCAACCTCTCTCTAAACATCCCAGAAACATTTCCTCCTCCTTCTCTCTTCATTTCTCAACCCCAAATCATCAACCCATCTTCAACCATAACTAATCACTTTCTCATCCAAGATTAAGTCAAGATTAGCATCAAAGCTCCAAGGATTGTCATCAATCACAAGTTTGATCTTCCTTATCTCATTAAATCTTGTACTTTAATCATGGATTCATCTATTTCTATGTTTCCCAACATGTATAGCTAAATAAATTTGGGGCTAGAAATTGGTTAATTAATTGTTCTTATAATGTTTTAATTTGTATTGATTTTAATTGTTAAGTTTGTTCTATTTAGATTGTTGTGTCCAGAAAATTAATTATGTCGTGTTTGTGATATATATTATGAGTACTCAATCATAAACATATTGTTTGTTAAATACACAAATGAACACTTTCTGAACACACCGTTAAACTTCTTTTACCTTGTCCCGGATTAAAGTTTTACGGGAGAATTTAATTATTTAATTATATTATTTACACCACGGGGTTGGGTAAATAATATAGTTAATAATTAAGGTTGCCGTTGCACTTAAACAACTAGTCTCATTTTGGCCATCACTGGGAAATGTTGACTAGTTACTTATTTTAGGTGACTTGTGTTGGGTCCTAAAATATTTATCTACAACTTCTCACAATCTATCTAAGAATAAAATTAGCAATTATGTCTTACAAATGAGCATTGAACAATTAGTTGCCAATTTCTACCCCTACTTGCTATTGGTTGAACTTTGTGTTGATAAAAGTCTCTTCTCTCAATCACTTTTATTTAATTACTTTTCCAAGTAACAAAAATCAAAAGAAACGCATTCCCAACTTTAATCCTTAGTTTGTGCTTAATTATTTTATTTCCCGCTTCTCTGTGGTTCGACACCCTACTTCCTTGGGTAAAAAAAATAGTTGTGTGCCCATTATATGCTACACACCATACATCCCCCCAGGCAAAGACATCCATGATGCACTGGAGGAGGCGGTGATATACGACAAATGGCCAAGAAAATGGACAGAATGGGATGATCTTCGGGTTGAAGCCGAGCAAGAAGACATGCAAAGAAACTGGTGGCTACGAGAGCTGATCAACAAATGCTCTGAAGATATTATACGGCTCGAGGACAATGAACGCAAGGAAGGGGAGAATTATAAGGAATCCCAGAAGACTCTTGAATCAGTCGTAAGACAAACAGCGGGAAGACTTCCCAAGACAGAGAAACCCTGTGATAATGTTCGTATCAAAGCCCCCTTCCAAGAAGAAATCAGAAAGCAAATCTGGCGTAGACCAAACAAAGTCAAGCCACTGAACGAACTGAAGCTAAGAGGCCTTACTCATTTGAAAGGAAAGCAGGCTGGAGGTCATCTGCATATGTTGCTGCAAAGGTCAACCGGTACACAGAGAGAATTAATGGAACAAGATCTAAAGTCGAATATTCTCCCGATTCATCAAATTCTACAAGTGAAGGCTGAAGACTATCATGGAGTAACATTCTACACTTTCAGACTTCAACGCACCGATGGGAGCGAATTCACTTGTCAAGAGAACGACTTCATCATGCTAAAACCGGATGACATCTACCAAATGCTCATGGCCTACAGATACCTTCCAGTCAGGCAGAGCATAGTATACAACGAAGGCCTCGCAGCTATCAAGAGATTCATGCTTAGACAGATCCGAGTACATTCTTCACATGATCTACAGATGGCTATTGAATGCAATCTGAAGAAGACAAATCTGACAAAGCCAAAACTGTATGGTCCAGAACTTGAAGATTTCCCAGCCTACCACATCTTCTTCACACCGCCAGCAGTCACCTATCTGAACTACAAGAACGAAAAGCGTCTGATGGTAGTCAGTGAAATCGAGAAGTACTGCGACGGAACACTGAAGATAATCAGAGAGCAGATTCTACAGATGAAGGCAAAGCTGGAAGAAAATCTTCAAGAGGCATCGTCTTATGTTCAAAAGGAACACTCTACTTTAGAGACAATTTTAAAGGCCATTGACGATCGCCTCGAAAAGAGAAATGTGCTGAGGCAGTATGAACATGCACTTGGATTAAGGAAGCACTACTTCAAATCACAGAAGCAATAAGAGAATGACACTTGATCACAAAGGGGGAGATTGTTGGAGATATTTAATTGTGAATCAAGTTGGTCATAGATTAGCTTTATATTTAATCCTTGTATTTAAATAGTGCATAAATTAGATAGAAATCAGGCCAAGTGTTAGGCCCATTTAAACAGGCCAAAAGCCTGGTACGCCTAACCTAAACCTCGCCTATAAAAAGGGAGCCGAGGTTTAGGAAAAGGTTGAACGTCGTACTTATTACTCATAGCCTTACGCTTATCATTCTGATGTACGTTCCACGGTTTATCAAAGAAGGTTTTACGGTGATTCATTCTGTGTTCATCTTTACGTTTAATCTTCCTTGTTAGATCGATTATTCATTGCTGTTACAGAAACAGGGACTAACAGGTACGGTGATTCAAGCGCATGTGGAGAGGATATTATGTCGAGAAAGATGCCCTCGGCTGTAGGTGATTAGCCGAGGGCTCTGGGTACCGGGGACCTCCTTAGTGCCGAGGACTCAAAGTGCCGAGGACTACCGATTTTCACCGTTTTCTCCCGGTAACTTTGTTTGCTCGAGTTGGCCACCCTGTGAGAATTGGAGCCTTCGGATGGGGGGGGGCGAAGGCACCCCTAGTGTGCCACGTGGGTTGCTTAGTACTTGGGGCGCTGTGATTTTGGCCTGTTGTGCTTCCTGGGCCTATTTGGGCCTCCCTCAGAATAGTGAGAGTCTATGGGCCGGGGGTTCCTGGGCCATATACTCCATCAATATTTTATCTGAAATTTATTAATTATGTAATACTACCTCCGTCGCATATTGATTTGCAAAATTAACTTTTCTTGGTCAAACAGTTTAATTTTATTCACTTAATTAGAATGTCAATTTTTAATTATATTTAATTTGGAGCTTGCAACTTTGAAGAGATTTTAATGTATGTAGTTTTTGAATATGTAAACTTTCATTGTTAAAATTTGAATTAATTATCAATAAAGAGAATTTAACTTTAACATTGATTGATAATAAAAAATACTTTGCATGTCAATTTGGGACGGAGAGAGTATGAAAATTGATAAATTGTGTGAATATTTGGAGGATGGCTAAACTTTATTTTCCTCTTAAAAACTTGGAAAAAGTGGCATTGTTTGGTATTGGTATGACATGGTATCATCTCATTTGAAAATGGAACCGTATCGAACGGGTTTACGTCTAAGACCGAATCGAACCGAACCGTTTGAATAGTCACGGTACGGGTACGGGTTCGGCCAAATATTGGACCAGACCGGACCACGCCCACCCCTAGAAAAAAGAAGTATAAAAATTCATTTGTGTTTTACCTTTTTTATTAAGAATGTTTAGAATACCTTAGCTAGTTGATACAAACATTAATATTTAAAACATTTAATATCTGAGTAGGCTTAGTACACATACCCCAATAACATCACAACACAAATGAAGGGAACGAACAGATCCCAAATCCAAGTTAATAGGAAGCATGTGATTAGCAACAAATGAAGTATATTTTCATATGAGCGTAATATTTAATCCTATTGTATATGAAGAGTTCTCTCATTTTCACAATTCTCTAGAAGTTGTGAGTTTGATTTTAAAGAATCAAATGAGCTTCACTATGCGCTCGTAGTCAGTAAATGTTATGATGGAAGGAATCATCAAAAACAACCTCGGTGAGATTATACCAAGCATTTCTCCAAACAACGGATAAGACAACAATTCTAGTAGCTTCTCCAAGCCACAATTAACTGAAGAAGCTTGAAAGATTTTCTCAATTACTTTGGTTGAATCAGAATTGAAAAAATGTACTTTTAATCAAAAGATAACATACAATCTTAGATAAAGTCTTACCTATAATCAGGACTTATAATTAGGAGGGTTAAGCCTACTTATAGCTTGAATAATAATCTAAAATCACACGATAATGGCTAAATATCTGTGGACGAGTCAGAACTTTACCACTATAAACTATAGAATAAACTCAATAGATCCATGTGCTGAAGCAGCAATGAAGGATAATACAACGAGGAGTACAACACCACTCCAAGCTACTCAATCCTTTAGGTTTTTCTCAATTGATCCAGTGGGGATCAAAAGGTACTCCTGACCTATCTAACCACACTCAGGCCGGGAACAACTGTCCTCCTGAAGTGTTTACAACAATTTCTGATCTTGTTACAAGAAAGTTCTAACCTCCAACTAGGAACTAAACTTCTAGGATTTTGGCAATGAATACTTGATACTAAGAAGTTTAGTGAAGCAAGAGTCTAAGCAGAGAGTCGTGGATAGAATACCACTTCTTGCTCAGTGAAATATCTCTACTTAGGATGCTCAGGCTTGGTTAGAAACTTTCGTTTCAGTCTCTATTTATAGGCTTTTTGGCTGATCAATCTTATCCGTTGGTTAGGATAATTTGATCTCTTCCGTTGAATTTCTGACAAGGACGAATTGTACTTTCGTCTTTTTGTGCTGGAGCCTTTTAATGCGGCTGAAGAGTTTGTCTTGAATTATTTAGCCGCGGAGAGCATCTTTTCCAAATGTGCGTCCCATGCTGTAGACCCCTGTACCTGTTTAAGCATTAAAGGCAGGTCTAATATTATCTTCCAATCATATACACCAATGTATTTAATTTTCGAACATATGACTCCCATTTTTGTGACGGTTAATTTTTGTGTGCAAATAAAATTATACCGGTAGGATTTAAATATCCCTTTTCAAGGTAAAAAAATTTACCTTATTGCATTTTAACTTTCTAGTGTAATTTCATTAGTTCCAAAAATTTTACATTTGTTTTGTCACATTTTAACGCTAATATTTGAATTTAATTTAGACACAATGTACGGGTGCAAAGTATACTGGCATCATCAAAATCTATCAAAATTGGGTACTAACAATTTCCCCCTTTTGATGATGCCAAAACTATACAACACAAGAATAAAATATTTTTATTGATTTTTCATTTGAGTTTTGTACATTGTTCTAGCTTTTAAGGTACAATAGTCTACTTTTTCTTGTCTTCCTCTGATTTCTTCTTAACCTCTTCCTTGGATTTTGCTTCTTCAGCTTTTCTTCTACGGATTTCCATTTCTTCTTGTAGCCGCTTGTTCTTCATTCTGGTTTCAGCTCCTTTCTTGGCTGCTAGGGATCTTTTAGACGAGGGGCCTGCTTGTGTTGTCCTTTCCCCCTTTTTGGCATCATGAGCAGGGGTCTTGCTTTCATCGAACAATGCTTCTATCTCTGGATCAGAAACAACTTCTTCGTGTGCTCTCTTTGATGGATCTAGGCCATATACCTTGATAGATAATGCTTTGATGTAGTTGTTGACGTCCAGCAGATCTGTTCTTACCTCATCTCTGACTTCATTTTCGAGCCCTTGAACCCTTTGGTTAGTTGCCTCCAAGTTCTGGCCCAGTCTTTGAAGGTCACTTCCATGCTTTAGGAATGCCTCTTGTGTGGTTTGGTGAAGGTCAGTGAGTTGTTTGGCAACATCAGTTCGTGTTTGACCAATTGCCTCAGAGTGTTCAACTTGCTTTGTGACCAACTTTTGTGAGAGTTGGAGAATGGCAGGAAGCTCCTTGGTCTTGAGGTGTTGTATGAACTCCTCATGTGCCTGTATTGTTAGAAGGGCCTGCTCAAGGTTGGGGGGAAGATTAGGAATAGCAGGTACCTGAGCAGAGACTTCTGCTGTTGGCTGGGAGTCACCTGCTTGACCGGAGGCAACTGCTAGCTCCTGTTTGCTTAGTTTCTTTAGTGATTCTATAATTTGATTTTCCAGCTCTTCATCCCTGGCTTTCAAGGCTTCAAGCTCTTTGTGAATTGCCTCCATTTGAGCAGGTTGCTGGGTTAGTTGGACTTGCAGTTGTGCCTTTTGTTCGGAGTTGAACACTTGCTGAATCATGAGATTGCTTTTGAGATGGCAATGGACTTCAGTAAACCTCATCTCTAATAGTTCATCAAATTGTTTCTTCATCTTGATTAGCCGTTTGTGCAACCTAACCTCAGCATTGCTTATGAATTTTATGGTTGCCCTTCTTTCGTTGATGAAGACCTCTACCAGTGTAGGAGTGTCTTCTTCACCATCATGCTGAATTTGATCTTTGATCTCATTTGATGTGGCAGGCTGCTCAGGTGTTGTATCTTGGTGGGGTTCCAAGTGGAGATCTAGTAGAGCAGTCCCCTGCTAGATAGTGGCAACTAGTAGCTTCTGAGGAGCTTTGGAGGATTCCCCTCCTCCTTGGGTTTCTGTTCTTGATTTCTCCATGACTCTTCTTAGTTCTTGATCACTGGAAGAGGAGGAGTGAATGATTTGTTTACCTCTTGAGATGGGAGGACCCTTTGGTGTATTGTCAGCATCATCATCATCATCACTTGAATCTTCAATTTCATCTTTGGCAGTCAGCTCTTTTTTCTTCAGGGCATATACTTGGTTGATTTTGAGGAGCTTGGTTGCTTCTGCCATATCAACTGTTCCAAGCCATTCTACCACAAAGTCCTCTTCCTCTATAAAGAGTGAGAGGGTTTCAGCTTGATGGAGGATTCGTGATAGCTTCCAAGCTCTCCATGCCTTGACCCTGGCAAATTCAGCATCTAATCGTTCTAGAGGAGTCTGGACAATTGAGGCCACTGCTCGCTGAGTTGAGGGGCCTGCTCTGTTTCTATGGGAGCCACCTGCTCGTTCAATTGAGAGACCTGCTCTGCTTCAGAGGGAGCCACCTGCTCATTGTGTTGAGTGACCTGCACCGTCTCTAGGGGATCTACCCTTTCATCCTGTTGAGTTATCCTGGGGATAAGTATGGAAAGGGGAAGCACAGAGTTGTTGCTTCCATTTGACGAGTTAGAAGAGGGCTCTGCTCCTTCTTGATAAATTTGAAGAGGAGTGGCTACTTCTCCTTGAACCATTTGTAAAGATGACCCTGCCTCTTCGAGTTCTTCTTGGAGATTTCTTGTTGCTGGTTTTGATCTCTTTGATTGGATTTCAGCACAGCCTGATCTTGGTCTTTTTGCTAGCTTGGTTTTGATTCAAGTGAACTCAGTTTGGAGGGGCTCATGAGATTTGAGAGTATCATCCTACTTTTTAATTTCTGGGAGCCCTGCCTTGGAGGTCTGATGAAGAAATTTCCTCCAGGTGGTGGGTTCTTTAGTGGTTCCTAGAACTCCCTTCCTTTTTAGGATTTCTCCAATCAAAAAACCGTACCCTACCCATGGGAAGGTGTGGTCTTTTCTTCTTTCTTCGTGAGATTTGTTGACGTACTCTTGAAGTTGGTTGTGGACGTACCTGGTCCAGTTGTGATGGATGCCTGAGATGATTGCG